TGGAGCTCGATGCAACCACAATCGCAACGTCGTCATCGTCGTTGGTAGGTCTCCGGTAGCCGCCGCCCATACCTGCTCTGTGCCTCTTGCGCGTTTTGTAGCTTCCATCCTCGTCATAGATATCGCCGCCAAGTCGACGACGATCGTGTCGATGACCATAGCTGCCACCAAATGCTTGTTGATAGCCATCACCATCAAGGCTGAATTCGGAATCATCATGAACAGGGGTGGCAACTGCGTTGTGGGGGTTAGTAACCATATAGTACGGCACAGTTTGGATAACCCACCAGGACGCACACCACTCCCGTGGTTGACGTTATTCACATGACGAACGAAGTTCTTCAAGTTGAAGAATTTGCTGTAAGCGTTGGGTTGTCTCTCCGGCGTATTCATGAACATCTGTGTAGAGCCATCATCCAACACGGCTACCATGAAGAATCTCTTGGCTGGAATGTTGCAGTGATCACGGAGGGCCTTCTCGATATCCTACTGACTGTAAGTGATCTACGCCAGACGTCGATAGCGTTGCGCCTACTCACCATCGGAGGTCTGCGAGCGTCGCGAGCTTCGTGGTATCTACCATCCTCGGGGGGTGGATGGTCAATTGGAAATCGTTCAGGGGGCCATTGCCGAGGGTAAGGCTCCCGATTGTAGTCGCGGACCATGGCCACGGCACAATTAGATCAGAGAGCAAACCGACAGGAAGAAGAGTGCGTCCACTTGTTAAGGCAGGAGAACCGAGTCGTCGTATGAGTTTTAAGAGGCTATCGTAAGCGATTTTGGTGTGTAACGCTGCCAACCAAATACAGAAGGTGATGGGACGAATACGATGTGTAACTACACAATGGTTAGACAACATTGAGGTGCTGATATCTGCATTCGAATATCCTACAATATGTGGTAGAGGGTGGGACTTCTGAGAGATGATTGTTGTGGAACAGAAGTAGGTGTGTAGGAAAGGACCACAAAAGTCAGACCTCAATGTGATCCCGGCGTGATCAAGCCTAGCACAAGGCAAGATTGTACTGTTTTGGGGGATATTCAAGCCTGATGGCCACGGGATGTTGTTGGAGGTTGGCTGTGATATGTCGAAATGACTGCGCGAGGGTAGACGGAGTAAAGAGCCAGACTCGCCCCGACGTTTGTTTAGCGGGTGGCTCAGTAGATATTCCAAAGTCCGGCCGAAGAATACCAGCCAGATTGGGATCCAGAGCAGACCAACAGAATAGGAGCGGGATCCTGCGTCGGATCGTAAGTGTTGGCTAGACAAATAGCTTCCGAGCGTGGATCTTGCTTGGTGCAGTGAAATTGCTAGACGCTGTTTCGTGGCTGAAGAGACGAAATTGACGTTCCAAGTGAAAGATACGACAAAGCAGGAGGTTTGTGATCCGTCAGGGGCGTTACGGGGTTTTGGGGGAAAAAAGGTCGGCGGAGAGAGCGGGACTGGGTGGTTCAAACAAATCTATCAGTTCGCGAGACTGGGCGCCAGGGCGGACCTCAAAGTCCTCTTTGTTTTCAAGACGGCTTGAGACATCGGGGGGAGAGCCTCTCCACTGGTTCGCGGTTTTGTCTTAGAGCGCAACTCTCCACGCAATGTCTCGGGGAGGGAAGGGTGATGTGTAGAATGGACTGTAGACCAAGAAAAAGGTGATGCTGGGGAGTAGGAAGGGGGGAGAGAGTAAAGCAGCCAACAAGAACGCGTTTGCGATGCTTCCAAGGCCGACACGAGGAAAATGGATACGGCTGTCTTCGGAAGAGAATCAGAGGAGAAGGAAAGAGCCAATGACCACGAACTGGAGCAGTGGAGGGTGAAGGCCCTAGATGAGTTCGAGGCTCGCGGGCTGAGGTGGATCTTGGAGGAAGGATGGACCTGCAAGGCGGAGGCGAGTCGAGCTTGTCGACGGGTCCCGTACCTCTCGTAATGATCTGAGTTAGGGCTTTTTAGTGTATCTCGATTGTTGCCGTGGTATGTGACAGCCAGCTGAGGAGTGCGGGCGAGAAGCAGTGTCCCGCAAGCGAGGGGGGGTTTGAGCAGAGAGGCCGCGCAGACAACTTGAGGTCGAGGGGCAGCGAGACCGGCATCCGCAGTTGTGGAAACATGAACGAGCAGAAAAGTAGGAAGTCAGACCAGGAGGTACCCTGGTCTAGTCAGCGTGAGCCTCTACCCTCCTTCAGCTCTTGGCTGGACTGCAAGTTGAAAGAACCAGGGACTGGTGAGCCGTAGTAATATGGAATGGACGTGTCCGTCTGAGTGCCATATGAAAAGGCAAAGAAAAACGGATGAACACACACGCCTGAAGCAGAACAGCAAGCCTTTCCGGCGTGGGACTGACGACAGTGGAGTAAAGAAGGGGGGCGGGATAGAATAAAAAGGCTTTCTCAGGTAAGCCTTTAGGTGTGGACGTGGTGGAATGTGGTCAGGGTATCCGTACGGATACTTGTGAAGCTGTGCAAGGGGAGAGAGTAGGACTAGGTTGAACCTCCACTTTCTTCCCTCCCTGGTCCGCAGCCTGATAAGGTGTGGCAGGTGCCAGCCAGGAGGAAGAGTGTGCTCGAGAGTCAAGAGTTCCCGTACGGATACACCACCATCCCATCCAATGCCGCAGCTCGACATCCCAACAGGTGGTCTGCAGGAGACCACAGTTCACACCCACCCCTCCCGAGGCAACCCCCCCAGCTCATCCATGGTGTTTGCACTACTGTGAGCAGACCAAGTAGAGCATGTACTGTACCAGACATGGGCGGTACGCATCTTCGTGCATACAAGGCCTGTACCAGACCAAACACAGCCAGATGTGGTCGAACGGAGACCCTAGTCGTAGTCCTCCCGGCCAGAAACCCACCATGTGCTGTCACTGGATGCGAGGGTTGCGGAGGGCGATCCTCGTAGCCCTGGTCATCCTCCCCAGGCACCCCCGCTGCCAACCGTCTGCAGACTGAGCAAAACTGCTGCAATGGCCCGCAAGTTGAAGGCTCTGATCAGCCAGAGCCCGGAGTATCTGGATTTGCAGATGTCTCTTCATTTCTCTGGTTTCCACTCACCTCAAATAAGTCGACGAGGTTGGCCTCTCAAGGTCTGAGTTTGCAACAGATGAGGGCAGATTGGCCACGGGGACCACAAGGCGATGGACAGATTCCATCCTGTGGCAACGTTTAGCAACTCGAACACCTGTTTGGTGCGAGATTCGCGAGCCGGTGCCAAATTCGTCGAAGCGTTTACCGCTCTGTCCATTCTCAGTTGAACTGAGTAGCCGGCTGTTGCGAGAGGTAAGGCCAGACAAAAAATCATAATTTGTGTGAGTGCATGAAGGTGTGGGAGACAGCCCATGTCGAAGAGCAGGGGTCGAAGTGAGACAGCGGTGGGCCGGGCTGAACGGCGCATCGGTCGGCAAAAGCCTTGCCAGTTATACGGGTCTCCATTGATTACATGGCATTGGCTGCATCTCTGGATGGCCATTGCATCATTCGAGCCCGCGCTGTTCGTCTCAGGGCTTTCTTTTCCTCTCGTGATGTTGTTGCACGCTAAATAAGCCTTGAAAGACTTCCTGGAGCACCCTAATTACTTTTGAAAAGCTTCATTAAGTATTAGAATTATCAGGTAACTGATGGCATGGAGACTGCAACCCAAGCAGGGAATAATGAACGTCCATTCAGGCTTTTCGGTTCGGAAAGCTAGGACTGCTAGTAAGAAATATCGAACGGTGGGTCGTTATCGAATGAGAGAGAGAGTGAAAACCATTGGTTCAAGTCGTGTTGGACTCAAGACCGAAGATGCTACACGCGTCGAGATATAACAATGACATGCTGCCACATCGCCTGTTTCGAGTAATCAGGGCTCTCGACTATTGTACGGCTGGCGTGCTGTCTAACTCTAGCGAGACGACAAAAAGCAACTAGAGTGACTCGCGGGTTGTTGTGAGTAGCCTTCGGGAAGCTTCATTCTGGAGATCTGTGAGTTAGGAGGACTGTGCCATTCAAGATCGCCGCTTGGTCACGGATCGAGGTGCCTACATGACAATAACTGTCCAGTCTATTCAACATAAGTTTTGACCAAGCGCTCTCTTAGCTCAAAGCTCTCTCCAAAGATCAACGGCAGGGATTCGGCCGTTCCCTACCAGTAGTAGCCATCATCGTCGTTTTGGCATTCCGAAGTCTCGCAGGAACGGAAATGACCCCCAAATAGCCATGTTGAGTTCGCCGCTAAGCTCGCTATGCCAGCGCGGGTGCGATTTGTGTGGCTTTCAAAAGTAAGTAGTGTTTGTAGCATCCATTTCTAGCGCTTAGGTTCGCCCTTGCTTCCAGACGGGGTTGAGCGGGGGCCTTAGGAGGCAGAGGCCGGTGTATGACTCCGTTGCGTTGACTTGAAGGCGCTTCACGAAAATTTTGACAGTTCAGGGCCACCTGCGGGAAGCGGTACGGCGCGGAAGTTAGTACGTTGGCATGGCAAGCAAACAAATTTTGATGGGGATTCGGTGCCCCATCGGAACATGCGGGGAATGCTTCTTATTCGTCGCTAACCGTGGTAGAATGGCAAGGTGCATGTCCATTCAGACGGTTTGTTTGCTCTTGCCAGGAGAAGGCCGCGGGCAGGGAGAATGGAAGAGGGTCGAGCATGGCTGGTTGCTGGATTGCCAGCAAGAAGGCCCCTCCGCTGGCCGTGCTCAATGGGACGTCGTCAGACGGGTGGTTAGGTCATGCTATAAGGCCGGGGCCGCAAGATGGGATGAAGCCTGCATAGGGAGCGGATCAGAACCAAGCATGGCGCGGTCGGGGATGGGTTCCGAACGGGGGGTGACCTGTTTGGCGTCCTGCCCTGGCGTCTTGTCGCATGCCAGAGGCGTCTGATCCTTGACTGGAGGTGTTTGTAGTTTGTACGTCCGCTTGTGAGATTGTCAGCTCCATCCGGTAGGCATTCAGGCATGCGGAGTAATACTGTATGGATGGCTATGATGGCCAAGATTGACAACTTAGCGTTGCAGTACAGTTGCGACCGTACGCAGCTAACGGCGAAGAACTGCGAAGCTATCGCCGTTGTTCGTCCAGCGCGGCTGAAGAGATGTCGACGTCAGCGAGGCAACAGACAAGGCAACGAGGACAAAGGACGGTTGGAAGGGAACGCGGTTATCGTTCAACGGCTCCATTCCAGGGTTCAAGAGGTAGGTATCGGTTTGTGCTGGAGGCGGCGCAGGAATGCAGTAAACGTTGAAGCCAAGAAACGCATGTTTGCTCCCTCTACGAAGAGGTACAGGGAAAGTGGTTGGTAGGTGGGTGATTAGCAGCGGGCCTGGGCCGGGCTTCCAGAGTGCGCGGAGCAGTGCGTGGGACAAAGGAACGTGGGCAGCGGAAAGTCGGGGTGCAATGTTCCCGCACAGTACCCGTAGGCGATGGCAGGTTGAGCCGGCGATGGACTGTAGGTACGGAGTACGGAGTAGACTATATTCGTAGGCCGTAGTTTGGAGCCAGAGGCGTCGGTGGGCAAGCTTCGATTGATGCTGAATGGACGGGTGACCGAAGGGGAGGGAGTGTGAGTCGAGAAAAGAAAACTGCTGGAGACCGATCACGAAGTTCGGGTAAAATGGCGGGGATGAGGATTGGACGGAATTAGACTGGACTGGATTGGACTAGATGGATTGCATTGCATTTTGGGGGGAAAGCGGCAACGGAGTGGTGATTGACAGAACCGTCAGCCAACCCAGACGGGAACGTCTGGTCAAACTTCCATGCCAGGTGAACCAAGAGGTACGTACCGCAGGAGCACGTTCCGGGTGGGAACAGGGTGCGGCCGCCCATCTACATACCTAGGTACCTACCGTAGTAGGTAAACACTCCACTTATTGGTAAGGACAGGCGCGCCGCACGGAGCTTCGGAGCCAAATACAAAGTCCAAAGTATCTCGGAATGCACCACAACTCACCCATGGACCAGTCCACCACTACTGCCCGCTCTTGCACCGTCGTACTGTACCAAGCCGCGAGGTAGGGTAGCGTCCGTACGAACCTTGTCACCTTGCCGGGATAAGCTATCCGCACCTCCCTCCTTCTCTCTCTCACGCTCTGTACGCGATTTCCTTCCGTCAGTAGCAGGCATGGGCGCACTGAGCGGCCCAGGGGACAGTCTGGCATGCCGCATGCCGTACGCCCCCAGGCCGAACCAGGATTAGAACTGCAAACCGAGACCAGGACCAAGACCAACGGCTTTCCAACTTCAAGATGGTTCCTCCTCTCTGTGTGAATACCTATCGTTCTGGCATGCGGACGGGAGTGTGGGGGACTCGCACGGCAGACAAACGAAGTTAAGTCCGGATTTTGTTGCCTACCTGCACCGTCTATCTGAGGCGTCGGGGATAACTTCGGGTCTTGGTAGGGTGCCTTAACCAATTAGCAGATTCGGACGATACATGCTGCATGCACAGATACAGATTCGTGTAATCGACAATGCAGTGTGTTTAAGCTTCTCCCCTGAGATCAGCGTCATTCCTCCCTTGGTTCATGTTTGGGCGAGCCATTACCCTTGGTGATAGGCTTGAGTATCCGTGCTCGCTTTCTCAGAGGTTCGAGGGACTTTTGCCAACGCCAACAATAAGCATGAACCGTGGTACCTGCTTGACGCGGGTGCAGACTTGGACCCTTTGCTTTCCTCATTCTTTTCGTCCATTCCCGAAAGACTGCTCGGTACTGAAGTATGTACCTATGGTCCGCTAGTTCTTGCTTGCTGCATTGGTGAAAACACTGGTAAATTAATGTTCCCTCCCGCCGGCCTGTGGAAGTTTTCGGACGGGGTCCTCGGCATCGGTACGGGCTTGAAGTAGACTATGTGCTAGGAACGGCCCGATCGTCACGCCGGTGGCACCGACCATCGACCGTCTCTAACCTACCTACTGTTACGGCGAGGTTTATCTTTTATACCCTAGGTCCGTCCAATGTCGACTGCGCCTTTTGACAACCTGGCGGACTCGGACGGACTCGGACGGCGAGAAACAGGAGTTGGGAAAGAAAGAAAGAAAAAAAAACTCTGCCCTACTTTCTTTCGGCCCCGTTTTGAGGGCTATGGGGGGAACGCATGGTCTGATATTTTGTCATGCCTGTTGCCGAGAGTTCGGCTCCCTCACTGCCTGCATCGACGACCACATTGATTAGGATGAGTCCTGCGTGACCACCTCGGCCTCGCACAGTATAGCAAATGGGTCAGATATGTTAGCTAGCCGGTTAGATACCTCATGACCACATGATGGAAGAAAACTTCACGAACATGAACATCCCTTGTTATACATGCTGATCATCCTCGTCTGCCTACAGTTGTGGCATGCTTGCTAGGCACAGATACACGAGACTGGGTATGGTTGACAAATTGCTAGAAGCTGGTTTTATGACCAAGTCTGGTGCTCTATGTACACAACTTTGCCGACCGGGAATACGTTGGAAGGGCCCACGATATTTCCAGGGTCCAATTTTCGGCCCAAAATTCAGACTCTCGCCCCGGCCAGGTCCTTGCACAATTCTAGGCTAAGATAGATCGTGTCTCTTTTTCCTCGGACGGTACTCCGTAGACCCTAAGCATGACCAACCCCGAGGTCAGAAATGGAGGGGAAGAAAGTGTTCCATGCCGCCTTCAATGTCCTGATTCTCTTTTCCCAGATTTTCTTGCCCCGAATCTTCTTGCCCCAAATGTCAGAAAACTTGCCTTACTAGGTAAGGTAGTTGGTTCCAGCTCAGAGGCAAACCCAGACTGGAAGGCACCAAGATGCACTTATCTTTTCCCGCTTACTTAAGGTCGCAAACTTGGTTAGACTACTGCAGGGAGGAAGGTGCCCTGCCACCAGCGTGCTTTCTCTTCCATATTTCTCGCCCTTTCCAGGTCCCGACTATCACCAACGACAGTCGCCCCCTCTTTGCTCTACAAGTTCCAAACCCAAGCCATGGACAAGACAGCGTCTCATTGGCCGCCGAGGTCTCACCTTTCTTTCCAGACAGGATCCGCCTCTTTCCAACTTCATGATTCCATCAGTACCACCGATGTTTCCTACCTACATCATCACATCGCGCGGCCTCTCATCATCCTCGTCTGTCTAGCCCGCGCTACTCCTTTCTCACCCCGTCGAGATCCATCACCGGGTCCATGACGAACTTCTCTGCAACACCATTTCAATCCCTCGTCTGCGGCATGTCTTACGCCCTAGCGCCTCACTCATCTAGGTACGCATCTTCTTGAGTAGGACCTCCAGCACAGCAAAGTTGGGACGCTCTGTATCCGTAACCGCCCGTCTTGTTCGCCTGAAGCCACATACACTTCCGGCTCAGGCACTGCGGATGCATTGAATACCTAGCTGTGCTCTTCAAGAAAGAGGTGATGACGCCGTCCATTCTTGGATACATGTGCATCTAGTCAAGTCCTGTTACACAGCAGGCTGTCCACGCTCCTGTGCAGAACCAACTCCTTCCTGGAAATGGCGCTGGAAAAGCATTGCTTACGGGTTTGAGGTGGTCAGCCGGGGGCCGATCCAACCATTTGACGCGCCCACATTGACCCATCAATGGTTCGTTCTGCTCGAACACTGCAGCAGTACTCACACCCATCGCCCGCCGACTCACCTGGAACCTACCGCCCTACATTGGAGGGCTCGCTCGGCCTAGTTTGTCACATATTGCACTGGCTCGTCTCGAGCGATAGTGTTAAAGCAAGATATCGTCACATCCTATCGATCCAAAACTGCCGGCCTGGACAAACCCACGACTCCACCACGCTAGAGAAGGTCTTGCAGTGCTGCAGCTGCTGCAGCTATGCATGCTCATGCTCCGAGACCACCACCTTCTTTGCGGCCGCCGCCCAGATACTCGTACAGTTGCCAGCCAACCATCAATCCCATGGCCACAATGGTCAAAGGCATGTCTGAGGCAATGTGGTTAGTGGGAAAACTCGACGTCTCGGCGTAAAACACGAAACCCCGCTGCTATAGCCCATCATCACAAGAAAAAGCAATAAAGCCAAAGACCACCTGTTGTCTTGCTTGCTTTTTCCTCTGAGATGGCAATCACTCCGCCGAAGAGCGCGCAACGATCGGGTCGTTTGTTTTTCCCGATTCAATGACCTCTACATTTTGAGCCAAGCAGCCGCTTAGGGCCGGTCGTAGGCTGCATGAGCTCAACGCTAAATCAATCTTTTGGTAAAAGACTAGTCGTGCTGCTGACGCCCCGATTTCTGGATGACAACCCCCATTACAGACAAGCGGCGATGCGTTGATCAAGACCCGCACCAAAAGGATGTGTCTCGATCGTATCCGGTTTCGGTATCCTCCAGGCGACGAGACACACCTAACATGATATTGCCCAGACGCCGCAAGTGCCTGTTCCAGTCGATGGGAAACGTTGGTTATTGCTACGTTGACTGTTGCTAACGCCCCGTCACCGCTAGAGGCCACGCAGGATTGCCGGGTGCTTACCAGCACTTCACAATGACGAGATAGTGTGAGTGAACGCCTCGTGGAGCAGGTATGCACGTTTCGACCTCTCTGGTCACCTTCCGCTATTCCGTCTGCACGAAGCGGCCGGCGTGAAGAAAAAAGACTATACCACTCCCTTGGGACGGTCGATAGGTCGGTAAAGGCCTGCCTGCCAGCTAGGTCTGGCAGGGAGTACCACACTAAGAGGGGTTACATCAACTATTTGCTAGCTTCATCCTCGGCTTCCCACCATGCGCCCCAGATGGAGTCTCTTGGCATCCTTTACCCGACTGCCTTCGAAATGCTTCGCGACAAACTAAATACCCTCGGAATTGTCGCGACAACATTCGGTGAAAATCGTTGCAGACACATGCTGACTATAAGTCGGTCTCCCAGAGAACTTCAGGCACATCCTGACTCGACACTTCTCAGGTTGGAAATTCGACGGCGACCACGGCGGGCCCATGGACCAGGCGGACCTCGGAGACAAGGACGATACTTTGGAGCCAGGCGCAAGCATACCTATCTACTCAGTAGATTACACAAGGAACGACGAAGCGGGGTTGGTCCGCACGCCTCAGCCAACTGAATCTCTAACAGACTGGCTGTTAGGATATCATCGCTCCAAACTCCTACAGCATCCCCAATCTTTACGCCCCTTTGAAGCTAGGCATGGGGTCTCGGACTTGAATCGAAGCTGTGATTCGTAAAATCTTTGACAATTCCCCTGGCTTCCGTGCAGTGATTCGTCCTCATTACAGGGATCACGGGCGTCCAATTCCGTCCCCACAACCACCACCGCCGCCAACAGTCACATCACCAAGCCACGCACTCATCCAGCTGCTGTGCGGATCAGGGGATGGCCCTGGAGAGTCCCTGGAAGGCCGTTGGCATTCGCACATTTCACACTGGAAGTCCCCGGCTGGCCTCTCCACTTATAACCGTACCTTACCTGCCATTACGGATACAGCCCGGTTCTGACAGCTCACTTCACTTCACAATTGGAGCCATCTCCACCCCCATTCCCTCTTTTTCGTCACCTTACTCAGGGCCTCACGGACGACTTGAATGAATGGGCATGGTGGTCGCATCCGATACGTCAACCGATTCTTGCCTGCCGGTCCCCAGCTGTCTACGTTTCTTCCGTGATTCCCCAGCAACAGATTGCGGCGGCAAGGTGTTGCTTTGATTTCAAAGTTTAGCTCAATGTCTGTGTTGCCGGGTTCGCTGCCGGACGCTTTGCTTGATCCGGGAGCTATGCGCCAGCAAATTCTACGTCAACCTCACTTTCCCAGATTGACTTGACGCTTCTGTATTAGCTCTTTTTTCTGTCGTTTTCTACGTTCAACTCTATTTCGACATCGACGATGTCGCCAGTCTTCTTAATCGCCAGCCAGGTCGGAACTCTTAGGTTTACGGGCACAGCACCATTTTCAGGCATGTGATTGACAGGTGTTTGCTTGCTGCGCCGTTATTTGCTACGCCGCAACCGTTGATGTTATGTTATCTCTTGGTCATTTACCAACAAAGTGGTAACGAGGACCGCAGACCAACTGCATGGCCCTCCGTTGATATGTACGCTACATAAGACACCCCCTCTGAACCGACAGGGAAGCCTGTCAATAGCTCACAGACCAAGAGAAAGGGGACAAGAGCCAAGATCATCACCGAATCCCAGGCCCATCTTTGTTCTAATCTACTTTTGTCGTCACTCTCCGGACCAGGCTGTCTCGGAGCCTGGCGGATAGATCATTCAGGAACTTATGGACTGGGGGGGCTGTGAGGGCATACCAAGCTTGCTTTACGAGTTCTCGGCCTAATTTGATGCGATCTCCGATGTCAACGGAGTTCGTTTCCTTTCAAAGCCGCATCCGCCATGGTCGTCTGGAACTTCGCGTCCGAGGGCAATGAGATGCTCGTGGGAGAGGGAGCTGTCGTGTGAGGCCTTATAAGGCGTGTTCATCCCAATGATTTCTCTCTTGGGCGCGTTGAGGACAATAGTCATAGGCTGTAGTTTAGTAAATATTACGAGGCTCACAAGGGCTCTTTATCGTCACACAAGACTCCAGCCAAATTGAGGCGAACTGGGCCAGTCATCTTCATGGTTATGATTGCATCATGACCGCCTATTCTATACCAACATGCCTTCCAATGGGCGAACATAGAAGGAGGCTGCCTTCACGAAGCTCATGGATTGAACCGGAATCAGGGGCGATTT